ATCTAGGTAATACATTCATTGAGTCTTTTTTTCAGAGAAGGTGAGAGTTTTAGAGTTTTTTCTTAACTTCTGGCAGAAACACATTGTTGAATCTTTGTATATAGTTGCTGTGATTCCTTCTTAAAGTGTGAGCAGAGGGATTTACCTAATCCTCTGCTGGTTCACGTCTTCCATGCTGAACGATGAATACTCCCTGAGCTCTTCGTGCTCCTGTTGTGACTGGCTCCTGGTCAGGAGACCATACATTGGTACTGATACCAGCTGGATTCGGATCTGAGCATCAGTAGACGTGCTGTCCTGGAGTTTAAAAAAAACCCACCAAAAATATGTGAATTTGCTTTCAAACATGTAGCAGAGTTAAAGTGAGGATATATAAGTATAAATAATAATAAATAATTACACATTACACATTGATGAAAAGAGCACAAAACAGTTAAAATAATCTTAATCTTAACCATAAAGATAATAAAAATAAAAGATTTAATATGTCTCTGATGTTTACTTTGCTTAAAGAAATGTCTTTCTAATTCTGGTTATGTCACTCACGGTGTAAGCCAGGTGCGAACGTTGGATCACGGTGCTGCTTTTGTCTCCAACCTCTAGGGACAGCGTAGCCTCAGGCTGGTGCTGTGGCCCTTCACCGCCTGCGCCCAGAATCACCACCTGCACCACCTGGGTTGCCATGGAGATGCCGTCACTGACAGAGAAGGTCATAGCATCTTCTCTGGTGGAGAGTCCAGCATGACGGTAGAGGAGAACATTTCTGGTGATGTCACTAAAGGTGAAGATATCACCTGCCAAGACAAAAAAAGACAAGACAATGGAATCCAACATGTTGTAAGAATTTGTTAACATCTTCGTCTAACAGTTGTCTGTTAGGAAAACTGAATTTGTGAACCACTAACTCTCCCATTCCAATAATCCATATGGATAAAATGACCAACTGCTGTGTCTGTGTGATTCAAAATCTCAAACGTTTTACAGACTTTGGTAAAGAAAGTTGGCTCACAACTCCATTTCTCTGTGAATCAGCCTTGATACACATCTCAGTTCACGTCACAGTGATTTAAACCAAAACTATCTCTGACCGTAAGTGTGTATGTGTGCGTGTGTGTGTTTTCTCACCGTTTCTCATGATGACACGTGTGTTTCCATCCACTTTAATCAATTCTCCGTACACAGGAGCTTCCACCAGCTCAAACTCCAGCTCGTCTGGAGCCGTATCAGCATCACTTACTGCCAGCTGCTGACCTCCTTCACACACACACACACACACACACACACACACACAGACAAACAACCATGAAAAAGAACGGAAAAATAATGAGCCATCTGTTCTGTCCTTGCAATTAATATTAATATTGTTTAATTTAGTTATATATGAGGATATATAGAGTGAAGTGTATGTGTGCCGTGTGCATGTGAGTTACCGATGGCGGCCTGTCCTCCCAGGCTGACCTCCAGCAGAGGGTCCAGGACCTGAAACACTGGGGGCTGCTGATGGTTGGAAAGAAGCAGGACAACAAAGTCCAGCTCAGGGGTGGTGTGTTCACCGTCTGACACTGAAGGACACACAGATACATTAGAACAGCAAAAAAGAAACATAGTAAAGCAAAAATATTTCAAACATGCCATGCAAAAAAAAAAGAGAAATCTGAAAATTAAACAATAATGTATATTTAAAACATTATTAAATAATGTAATAATAATTAATTAATACAATATTTAAAGGTTAAGATAAAAAAAATGCACTAAACGGTACTAAAAGTAACCTGAAAAGCAGCCAAATGTATAAAAAAAGCCTGAGTATTAGCCAAAAGCTGTAAGAAATACTGAAAGTTAAATTGAAATACAGCACACAACAATAGCTAAAAGCCAATGTCCGTCATAGTTCTCTCTGTTAAGTTCAATAATTTTAAAGAGTGCAGATCCATTAAATATAAAGATGGTGAATTATATAATAACCACATGTGTTCTTTTCTTTTGATGAGTGAAGAACTAATTTCTTTATTTTCCTCTGAAAGCTTTGGATAAAATATGAAATAAAGCAGGATACATGTTTGGGCTGAAATATAAAAATGCGGTGAATAAAACACAGATGCATTAGAGTAGATAAGGTTGACAAGAAGAAGCCGAGATTGTTTATTAAAAAAGGTGACAGATGAATTGTGTAATAATATTGAGTTTTAATCTGACACATAATGGTCTTCAATTTGTTCAAATGTTACTGGAAATATATTTAACAAAGTATATTAAACATATCAACTACTTTCAGCTTTGTCCCAGTGAATCATTGATTTCCATCTCTCCCTGTTCTCTGCATCTTCTACTCTGACTCCAACTATCTGCATGTCCTCCCTCACTGCATCCATATATCTCCTCTTTGGCCTTCCTCTTTGTCTCCTACCTGGTAGCTCCATCTCTGACATTCTTCTACCAATGTATCCACTGTCCCTCCTCTGCACATGTCCAAACCACCTCAATCTGGTCTAAATATCAACTATCAACTACAATATACTGTAATATTCTGTAGAGTTAGTAAATATTCAGACAATTTTTGATGTGTGAAGATGTTACCTGTGAAGTAGACACTCAGAGACTCAGGCAGACCTGAGAAACAAAAATCACAGACTGGGATCAGGATCAGCGAGGAGATTGAAGTCTGATTTGATCTAAAATCAAGGATTTCTCCAACCAACTTTAAGACTCTGTTTTTGTAACATTTATCTTAGGGATATTTCTTGGAATGTTTTTAAAGTTTTGGATCAGAAATTGTATAACAACATATTTAAAACCCAAACAATCAGGCAACTCTTCATCATCTTACAGCCACTGCCCTCAGGAGGAAAAGTTCTCTCACCAATGAAGGAGTACTGATACAGTTCCTGCAGGTGTGAGGGGGCCGGGGGTGGTCTGTAAATGATCTTCCCAGAGTCCACGTCTCTCTGTGAGAAGTGTGTGGCTGCTGCGAATGGTCTATCTCTGTGCTCGATTGCTCCTAAATGTGCAGAGGAGAAACAACATTTTCATCCTGTCTCTCTGTATCAGTGAGTGTGTGTTCAGATGTGTGTGTGAGAGACAGACCTTGTCCTGGTGGCAGTGGTTTGGTGATATTGTAGATTATCTTCTCACTGGGACTATCAGAGTCGATGAAAGACAGAGCTGCAGATGTAATCTCTGTCACCTCATCCTCCAGAGCCTGGAAAGACACATGTAATCCTGAAATTTAAAGTCATCTGGAAGCATTTCATTAAAATCAAATTTTAGCATTTGAAAAACTGATACAAGTCATTTCATTTGAGTATTCACAGACGCTAAGTGACACATACTTAAGGCTGTGTTTCACTAAATATGACACTAAGAGGACTGCTGTGTTAAATATGTGGCACAACTACAGTTGTGCTCAACGCAATACCAGGCAGTTAAGTGCTTACAGACTGTTTTATCTGAAGTTTTGTTAACAGAAGATTATTTCAGTCCAAAAAATGGTTAAAAATGAATTTAACCAACATTCTTCAAAACTGGCACTGACGTTGAATTAGAAAATATACAGCATCAGACACACGAAGGATATCTACTCTGATCTAATCTAATCAAAGTCTATAGATTTACTAGTTATTTAAATAAAAACAAAACTGTGTTTTTAGCTCACCGTAACCTGGAGCTCACAGTCTGGGTCCAGCTGGGGGAATCCTGGGATCTGAGGCAGGATTCCAACGGTGAAGGTCTGGACATCACCTTGTACTACAGGAGCTACATCTGTAGAATACTGGTTACAAAAATGGCAGAATTACTGGTATAGTATTATATTTAAAAAAAACTCTAACTTACTTAGTGCCTAAGATTTCTACTATAACCTGATCAATTATTGCTCTCCCAGTCGACTCATTAAAAATAACTATTTTTTTCTATTACTGGAATAATAATCATTAAGTTTCCTAATGTGAAAAGCATAGAAGGACTACAAGCTGATACGATTTTAACTTTTCTGGAAACATTTGGATGTGGAATAAAAAGTGCCCCAGTTATTTTTGGAGACCTGTGAAAACTGCAGGAATAAAATAATAATTTGAAAAGATGAGAACGTACACACACATGCATCATAGACTAATGAGAACAATGATCATTTGTCCTTACAGCCAGCTTTATCTGACATTTACACATCTGTTCATTTATTTTAATTCTTAAAAATGTCCTCTGCTATGTTCCCCAGGAGAATTTCTCCTCAGCCTCTGACTGCAGTTCCCAGGCAACGGGACTATTCGCTGCTCACTGACATAATCATGGAGGGGGCACGGAACAAGTCAAATTAGCACATTCTGTGGACAAGCATTTACAAAACTTAAACTAAAGTCTGTTCAGAAGCTGCCAGTCAGCTGCTCTTTTGTTTAGTCAGTTGGTGTCACGAAAACAAAACTGATTTCAAATAAAAAAAATAATGGCTAAACCCTCAATAGATCATCGACTTCTGGGTCCTGTGAGCTAACATCACAAACTTTAAACTGAAATCAATAAATATTATTTTAAAAACCACAACATTCAGAGCTTCTTTGCTTCACACAACACTGGAAAGATACTTTGTAATTTAAAATTTAACATCAGTCAGATGTGGTGTGTGCCGAGGGATAGAGAGAGGGGAAGAGGGAGGATGGCAAAGTGATAGAGAGACAGAAAAATGTCAGAGAGGCAGAGACACAGAGAGAAATAAAAATAAAGAAAGAGGAAGAGAGGAAGAGAGAAATAAAGGGAGAGAGGTAGAGAGGGAGAGAGGGAGAGAGAGAGTAATGCAGCAGCTCCGGGATGTGAAGCAGGGAAGCAGGAAATGAGGACTGAATGCTCTGTCAGCTTCAGCTTGAACAGCTGAAATTTGAAGCCAATTTACAAGGAATTTGGTGTCTTTAACTTTAATGAAGATGAGTGACTTTGAGAAGAAGGGGAAAGAGGAGAAGGAAACTAGGACATGGTTATAGTATATAGATAGATATTTCACAAAAAATGCTACAAGCTTCAAAAAGTCAAAGTAACTTGAAACTAAAAAAAAATGAAATTGAGCTAAGGAGAATGAGAAGAGCATAAATAAACAAGTAAATTAAATTAGAAAAAAGAAAAATTGCTAAAGCTCAAAAACAATTGGTCAAAACCTAGTAGTGAAAGAAATGTGAAAGTTGAAGCAATAAAATGTGGAAAATAGCAAAATATAAAAACAGGTTCAACCCAAAAACACATAACATTGGCTGAAAAATAATTAAATTAAAAAATCACAGTTTGCAAAAACATCAAAATACCATCAAAATATCAAGGAGATATTTACTGCTGCCAAATGTCAAAGATATTTTCCAATGATCAATAATGAGACTTTCTGTCGTGGATGTTTTTTTGATAAAATTAAAAAAAAAACAAAACAGTACCAACCTGGAACTGAAAGGAGTCACTGTTAGTTCCGTGGCCAAAGTGTCGGTACCAGACAGTGCCGTCTTCTACATCCTGCTGAGTGAAGGACATAGTGGAGGTGAAGCCTTGGTCATCTGTGAGTGAGGGACGCCAGCCATCAGGAGGTCCATCAGCAGGCATGGAGACCAAAACCACTTCACCTGGAAGTACAGACAACACACTGGCCAGATTAGACCGTGTCAGGAGCCACACCTACAGATCAAATTGAATTTGTTATTGAAATTAGGGATACAATTCTGGGCGATACTGATGTTACAAAATAACAACATAAATGTTAAATAATTGGGAAATAAATAAATTGCAAAAGTATTATATTTTCTCAGTTTTTGCCACATTATGTGGCTGAGAAGCCTATAAGACATGTGGTTCCCATGATTAGTCAAACGAAGGTCAGCAGAAGTGTGTGTGTACGCCTGGTATGTGGAGCTGGGCAGGAGAGAAAGAGCGAGAGCGAGAGAGAGAGACAGAGAGAGTGAGGGTGACCTGTGGTGAATATTATGCGTTTTGGCGTTGGCTACTGCCCACAGTAGCTTATGTACTCCAGGCTCATTAAACCTCAAGTCAAGAGCACTTGGCAAAATCATTGTGTTAAATCAAGGACCGCTACAATATATGTGACTGATTAGACGCTAATGTTCTTATATATTTCTAAATATTCATATATATATTTATACATAATTCACCATGCTAGAATTGTCGTTGTCAACGTCCCGATAGCCAATGGCAACAAGGAGAACATCGACCAATACCGATTCATTACCATTCATCCGATGCATCCCTAGTTGAAATGTATTTTGTTCTTGCAGCTGTAATTCAATGCTATATGTTCCCTGATCAACAAAGGCGTTGTAACCAAGAAGAGGACTAGAACACAGATGAGTCTGTCTGGTACGCAGAAGGTGGACTGCATTCTGGATGGTCCTTGTGAGCCCGTACCATACTGTGGTCCTCCGTCTGCTGTGAAGATGTTATAGACAATATGTTCAGAGCCCACTCCCTGGACGTTGGCGTGAAGGTGTTTTTTATCTAGTCTGACCGTTCCTCCTTTTTTTACCCACGTCATCATCGGTTCTGAGAGAACCTGAGGAGAATCAGCTGCCTGGAACACAAAAACGACAGCAGATATATGAGAAAAAAAAAATCACTATCAATATCCATGATCACATTCCAGCCTAGACTTAAACCAGAATAGTAAAAATAAAGAAAGTCACATACAAAAAAGATTTAGCTAAGATTTTGACCATGATCAACAACTTTTCAGAATTGTTTGAAATGTACCATATTTTCAGTTTTAATCCCTTTGCACACCTACATCTGTCTTAGTTGTACTGTTTGTTTGGTCTCCATTGATAACAGATTCATTTTTCGAATCCAGAATTTAAAAAAAAATCCTCTTCATTAACACTGACATCTTTCCAAGACACATATTTTTAAATAGTTAAAAAAAACTAATGATTTTCATTTTAGGCTTTTCTCCAAAATCTCTCTTGACTTGATAAGACTACCGATATCAAAGGCAGATTTGTTCTCCCAGTAACAAGAATGCAGAGATAATAGTGAGGAGACTGCAGTGCTGGATATCTGGGAAAAGATGTCATTAAAGATTAGAAGTTTGGAGAGTTTAGTTTGTACAGACACTGAATAAAGGGACGTGACTTCTTTGTTCAAATTGCCTTTGTTCATTGGCTCCCACAGGAATTTTAATAT